CCCCAAAACCCCAAAACCCCAAAACCCCAAAACCCCAAAACCCCGATTTATACAAAACTTATTGAAATGCAGTAAAACTTCCAAATCCGTAACATAATAATCTTTATTTATCAGAATAACGAATGACCTTAGCTTATCCCGCTGATCAAATTGAGTTTGGTCCTGATAGAGTCGATCAACATTCCGTCAATCTCTTTCGTATCATCCACTGTTGTATTATTATGAGCTTTAAGAAGGGCCTCTTTTCTTTTCATTTCCTCTTCCATCAGAGATGTCTTCTGCTTAATGTACTCGATTCTTTCATCCTGGGTGAACTGGTTGCTCAACAGGTCGCTTTCCCATCTTTCTTGGCTCCTATTTTGTCTTGAATTGGTTTGGTCGTCCTAGAACGAATCATTAAGATATAATATACCTTCTTAAGTCTGATATCTCTTAAGTAGTCATGCTTGACAAAAGAGGTTTTGTCATAAGGTTGTGGGTGGTATGAATACCTCTTCTCATCAATAGGCTTAGCTCTAGAAAACTTCTTACGGCTCTTCCTCAACGGACTTGACGCTTCAGTATTCAACTTATGGCTCATCGGAGACATCATACTGCTATTTTGACTCTGTTTTACAGACTGGAGACCTTTCCTGGTCTTTGTCATAGAGTGAGGATTTTCTAGACTTTTCTTAATCAGCTCCATCTCCAATTTCTTCTTCTTACTGACTGTTGGCTTGTAGAGCTCCTTCACATTCTTAGCGTAATCCAGTGACTTCTGGTGTCTCTCCTTGATCTGAGATTTTTCCTTGGCAGCCATGTTTTTCTCAGTTTGTTCTCTTGTACTAACAACTTTCCAGAACTTAGAATTGTATTTATCGGTATGATCCTTAGCTGCTTCAACATAACTAGCTCTATTTCTGAAAATATTCCCTCATTTTCTCCTTCATCAGCACCTTCTTATCCTCAGAATGCTTCTTAATCTGCTCTAGTCTAATAGGCTGATGAAAGTTACGAATATGTGAGAGGATCTCCTTCCTCCTTTCTAACTCAGGGATCAATCTTCCCTCTTGGAACTCAGTGGTGATCTTCTTATGCAAGGGTGACCTACTAACATACTTCTGGATTTCCTTCCTATCATCCTGTTTAAACTTCTGTATCTTCTCTCTTCGTGATTTTATCTTATCAACAATGCTCTTCTTCTTCTCTTCAAAAAGAGCTTTCTCTTCTTCTTCCTGCTGTTTTAGGAGTTTCTCCTTCTCTTCCTTCATTTTGTCCGCTCTGGCTTTTTGTTCTAATTTTCGTTGACGGAGTTTTTGTTTTCGCTCTCGACGTTCTTGGGTTAGCTTTTTGACCATGTTTTTGGCCATTTCAATGGAGTTAATCTCCTCTTCAGAGCTACGAACCTAAACATACCCACTAATTCCTTACCTTAGGCTTGCCAATCTGCACCTTAACTTGCTCAGCGAGTGCATCGTCCTGTAGCTCTGCTACATACCGATCAAGGTCTTCACTATCCCTATATCAGCCATAAACCCCTTCTAAAGACAAAGGCTTACCCGTTTTCAGCTTTCTCGATCAGTCTTTGAAGTTTTTCATTAATAACTGCCTTTCTGATTTGGTAATCATCTGAACCTGAGTTATTTGAACTTACCACCGGTGAGAGCATTGGCATCCTTGTACCGAGCAAGATCAAGAGCTCTCCTAGTCTCCTCAGCTACCATCTTCACTTGAATCTTCTTGGCATGCTTTTGAATATCTTTATTTTGTAGGAGAAATATGCTGGGAACCGCTCCTGATGAGAGAGCTCATCCTGCTTTGCTTCATCTCCAATGCTGAGGAAACAAGGTCTTCTATCCCCGCACTTCCAGGGTCCACTGAAAAATTGAGCGTTTTTTTCGCCATTGAATTTGTTGAAAGCATCTAGAACATATTAAGCAACTATTTTTGATGAGTTAAGATTTAAGCAAGCTATGGATCCTCTAGAAATGCTTGCCAATGCTCTCAAAAGAGTCCTAAATTTTGAGCAACTTATTGGTTCGAATTCTTCTAAATTTCACTCATTTTATAATTCACATAATTTAGGTTATACTCAGAGAAAAGAATTATTAAAATAATAGAGAAAATAGTCGTTTTTAATCTAATTTTCCTAAAAAATGGAGACTCTAGGGTTCTAGTTTTTTATAGTCATTAATATAAGATTTTATCTTTCAGAGCGAATCATGACAGCTCTACATCCTAGCAACTGCTTTGAATAAGAAACACATTCACTTATAATCAAGAGACAAGCCAGTAGGATTGGAAATGAAAATTTGAAAAATCTTATAACTTGGCCTTATGCCATTGAAAATGTGATGAAACCTCTTAGTTAAACCCCTTCCACCAAGAAAGCTTACTAGATATCTACCAAGGGTTTGAAAGCTTTGTTGTTCATAATGCTACAAACTTAGCACTCAGGGTAATTCCTGAATGTTTTCGAACTTTAAATGGATGCTCGCGATACTAAATCACATTCTAACTTTCTCTTTGTTTAAATTTACTCCTTCCTTCAAAAGCGATCTCAAAATAATGATGTTTATACCAAATCGTAGTTTATGCTAAATAAAAAAGAATAAAAGGTTAAACAGCAGCTATCGAACTCTTGTGTCATAAAGTTAGCTACGGGTGTTGGAATCCTAACGAGAGGCTCTTAAGGAGTTCTTCAACTGTGAATTTATGTCGAAAATCATCATTTGGGTTAGCATTGATTGCACATTTGTTGTAACAAAGTGTTTCAATCTTTTCAGAAGAAAATCTGAATTAGAAAGAAGATTCTTTACTTTCTATCCCATATCAGTCATGATCACAATATGTTCAAGGTTGTTGTATTAGGTTCAGGCAGAACAAGGAGTTTCGATACATAAGTTAGCTCGAATTCTTTAATCAAGGCTAAGAAAGGTCAGAAGCATAGCCCCAGTTGAGTCTGATCTGTACTCAAACAGCCATGTTGCTGCTCACTTACCTCTATTTTGCAAATATTAATATAAATTTTAACATAAATTATTGGGGTTTTGGGGTTTTGGGGTTTTGGGGTTTTGGGG